TCAAAGAAACAAAAACAACCCCCCCCACATACAGCCCTCCCTCAACCCTCAGACACTTCAGATTATCACTACTGCTGTATTTTTCCATGCAACTCAGCCCAGAGTGAACCTGACTTGCCAACTCTAGTTCCTTGTCATTTGTTCTGTTTTTAGCGTTGTTGTGTGACACTATTCCTCAAGAGATGTGAACAAATGTCTACTTACCCCAGATAGAGAACCAACAACAGACTAAAGTAAGGATACCCCAAAGTCCAACTTGGTGAACCAATGAGTTTATCAGGGAATACTCTATTACTTAGAGGAATGAGAGGGATTGCTTGCAGGAGCAGAAATCACTCAAAGACAGTTGCATTACCAAAAGCCCACCCCAGCATGGGTGATAGCTCGCAAAAGCAGGAAACCTATACAACCTACAGGAAGCTCAACAGGCTAGTGTCCTTTCCAGCAGCTCCAGCCTCTTCCAGGCAGCCTTAGCTGGCTTTTATACCTTCAAGGTTGCTCAGCTTGTTTCTGTCTCTTCTAGGCAGCTCCGGTGATATCTGTGGCATCTAGGCTGTTCAGGGTGGCTAAAAGTGTCTCTCAGCAATCCTTAGGGTTTATTATAAGCTCAGGGAGGAAGGGGCCTAGTAAATCTGATCAGTTTCAGGAACTTTCTGAGCTCTTGAGTTGTTTAAGCACTGAGGTTATGAGTTCTCTTGCAGGATGGAACGTTTCACCTTTTCTCCCAATATCCCTGTTGTTCATCTCCCTTCAGACATCCTGTTGTTTACCCAGCTTCCCTCCAAGCAGAATGGTTTATCTAGGAGGAAATTGCTACACAACAAGCTTATAGCGATCACACTTGTGATCTTGCTTCTCCAATATAATATTTGAAAAACTAAAGTCCTCGCTTTGGGACAAATACCTGCATTTTTCAAGAGGCCTTGAATTACGGTGCACTCTTGGATCCAGGATGCTACCAGCCAGCAGAGTGCAGCCAGCTCAGGTTCCACCCAAGCTGCTAATCAATTTCTTTCTTTCCAGGAGGCACCTGTCAGTTCCAGGTCCACACTCTAGCTGACTGCAACGACAAATGTGGATCCAGCTAGGTACTCTGGACTGTAACTTTGGGTTTCTAGTTTCCATTTGGCTACTTCCAGGTTGAATATGATCATGATCTCTGTCCATTCACTGTGGTCACCAACTGAAGTTCCCTTCTCTAATTCACCCATCTTCCCAGGGTCCTCCATCCCCATACTGTGGAACATATTTTACTCTAATTCCACCTCTTACCCCTCCCTGACTCCTTAAACTTTCCACTTTCTGTGCCTTATGGACTCAAGGTCTTACCCCAGAAAGACCTCGCTTCTCCTCCTCCATCATCCTACCCACTTCCTCTCTTTTTTCTTCTTCTTCCCCTCCCCCTCTTCCTCTTATCCCCTCCCCTTCCTCCTTCTACTATACTCCTCTTAACTTTCTTGTTCTAATGGATAGTTGGCAATTTCCTCTGAGCTGTTTCCTTGGCAGTTTTTTCTAGGTAAGAGCTATTTGTCTTCCCATGGCTCAAAGTACAGGAATATAGTAAATGTACAATTCATTCTTTCTCAATGTTCTCAAATTGCTTCACTTCTTTTAAGAAAAAAAAGATCACAACTCCTGGGGCTGGGGAGATGACCCCTTTAGTAGAGGACTAAGAATGAGGACTTGAGTTTGATCCCCAGGACCCATGTAAAAAGTCAGGCATGGTGGCACAAGCTTGTAATCCCAATGTTGGGGAAGTGGAAATAGGTGAATTCCTAGGGTTTGATAGCCAATTAGCCTAGCCTAGCCTATTTAGTGACCTCCAAGCCAGTAAGAGACTGTCTGAAAAATAAACTGGATGGTGTTCCTGAGATACTTGAGATGTTCTGAGGTTATCTCCTGACCTTTACATTCATGGACTCATATCTGCACATATAATGCACCTGTCCACATATGTACATGCACACACAAAAACCAGAACTCCTTAGAAGTGCTTATCATCTCCATTCATTATATCTCATCCATATTACTTTCCAACCTTCTAAGAATTCTGACCCAAGATTTTAACATCTGGATCATTAACTTCAGATCATTTCTATCCCACACATGGAAATGTCAATGTACCATTGTTACCTTTGTTGCCCATTATTTCTCATGAATACTCTTTAATATCATCTTCTCCCAGACTTCATTTGCTACTGATTCTATTACTGACTGACTTCTACCTTTGTCCAACCCACACATCTCTTCTGAGCTGAGCATATGTCCAACTAGATATTTCTACGTACATATTTCATGGAACATCAAACATTATTCTGTTTCTGTTCTCAAATTTTTCATTACACAGAACTAATGCTGGGCCTGGAGAGACGGCTCAGCGGTTAAGAGCACTGACTGCTCTTGCAGAGGACCTGGGTTTGACTCCCAGCACCCACATGGTGGCTACAAACCGTCCTTAACTCCAGTTCCAGGGGAATCCGAAGCCCTCTTCTGACCTCTGTGGCATTGCACGATAGGGGTTCACTCACATACATGCAGTCAATACACTCATACACATAAAATAAAAATAATAAATAAAATATTTTTTTAAAAGAACCAATGCCTACCCTGTCATCCAAGCCAGAATGGGGGTGGGGGCATTCCAGATTCCTCTGTGCCTCTTGGTGGTCTTATTCCCTTAGTTATCTCCTTCCCAAGCTGCTCCTGGTGCCTATGAGTTCAGTTTCTCTGATCTAACATCTGAGGGACTAAAGCTGGTAGTTCTAGAGCAAGCATCCCTGGGTTCAAATCATAACTTGCGATTTATACTGTGTTGACAAATTTCTTAAGCTTTTGCACCTTAGATTTTTCTCATCTGCAGAATGGGAATATAATGGGAGATGTAAACAAAAGGTCCTGCCTTTTCTATCAGAGGGTTAATTAAGACAAAATTCCACTAAAATATATAAAATCACTTGACAGAAGTTCAAATTCCTTCAGGGTCTGCATACTTCTTGAACCCAAAATATATACTCACGTTCTGTTTCTCCCTAGAAACTGTGCTGCTCTGAATTAGCCAATCACGTGAGAATGTGAGGCTCAGCTCTGACCACTCAGAATGAGAAATGGGACCCCTATGTGTTATGATTAAAAATTCAGCAGGACCCCAACTGAGTGTGCTTGCTTTCTTGATTTAGCAAGGCTATGCACTGTTCTGCAGAAGTAAAACCTTTTGCCTTTCCAAAATACTTTGGATGGTATGGTCCAGCTAAAAAAATTACTGATTATTTATCAGCTGCTATGATGCTAAGGTCAGAGTTTTATATGTATTTTACAACTAAGAGGGTGTTTATTAAAGGAACAAAGAAACAAGTGACAACTGGGGTTTTTGTAGTAGATGAAGAAGCTGACTAAAAAAAAATTCAAAAAGATAGTTGTCCTGTTTCTTCAGATGAGTTTTTGACAGGGGAGGGTGACATAAAGAATTTTCCAGACAGAGAAATCAGGATTAACAAAAGTCCTCTGGAAACAAGAAAATTGGTAGGTGTCTTAGTTGTTTTTCAATTGCTGTGTTAAAAACACTGACCAAAACAAACTTGGGGAGGAAAGGGTTTATTGGGCTTAGAGCACAATTCATCAAGGGAAGTCACGGCAGGAACTCAGGGCAGGAACCCGGAGCACAGACCATGGAGGATAGCTGCTACTGGCTCGTGCTCAGTCTGCTTTCTTTCTTTCTCTTTCTTTCTCTCCTTTCTTTCTTTCTTTCTTTCTTTCTTTCTTTCTCTCTTTTTCTTTCTTTCTGAAT